TCTTTTTCTTCTCTCTCTGTCTCACACACACACACTCACGCACACACACACAGACACACACGCATATGAGAGTAGGACAACAGGGAGGGGTGTCATGCTATAGTCAGGGAAGGACCCAAAGGCCATGTGCCCAAAACCGTCCCCCAAGGCAGGTGTGGACCCCGAGGCATTTGGCCTGGCCGTGCTGCAAAGGTGTCCCACCAAAGTGACCACAAAGTCCAGCAGCTAAGGGCTGCAGGGTACCCATCCCAGCTGCAGGGTCTGCACGGTCTGTGGGGTCTGCAAGGCTGTACATAGGGCCAGACCTGGGGGCCCCAGAAGACTACCCACCCAGGCATGAGATGCAAGGACACCAAGAAAAGCAGGTCAGGATGCTGGAAATGGGGCTTGGCTGGCCCCAGTGCAACAGCGCGGGTCGCACACATCTCGGTAAACCTTCAGCTGCTGGGGGCAGGGGGCAAGAAGAGTGGGGGTGGGTGGTAGGAGTGGATTCAGCAAGGGGCAGAGGGGCAGGGTAAGGGACTCTGTAGCCTTCCACCTCATCCCAGAATATACAGGTGCTCCACCCTCAGGGGCACCAGCTCCACAGACCCCACAACTCACCTCTCCCTTGCAGGCGCCTGCAGGGACCACCCTGCTTGCGACTGGCTGCCCTGGCACATCCCCACTCCCTAGCACCTCCTCTAACACCACTTCCATCACAGGGCCCTGTCTGGGGCTCTGGCAGCACTTTCTGTGTCTCTGTCCAAGGGCAAGTCCTCCCGCCTGCAATCAGAACGGGAGTCCCTTTCCTGGCATTTCCAGGCAGGTCAGGGCTGGTATTCCAGGCCCAGCTGGTGCCTGGCCCACAGTAGGCCCTGTCCCTGCGAATGACCATCCTTCAGGGGGAGGAGCTAGTGTTTCCTCTGGGAATGACAGTGAAGGGTGTCAGGTTTACCACCTCGTAGCTTCCATCATTACAGCTCCATGGTACCTGACTCATGCCCGGACTGTTCTAAGAGATGAATCCCCACAACCTTCTAGCTACAGTCTATTACTGCATTCATTTTAGACACAGGGACAGGGGCAAAGTACCTCAATAATTGCATAACAAAAGAATGGCCAGCAGAATAAAATTTGCATTTAGACACAGGGACAGGGGCAAAGTACCTCAATAATTGCATAACAAAAGAATGGCCAGCAGATACAGAATAAAATTTGCACGGAGTAGAAAATGTAGGCAACAAATTCATGCTGCAGAGCCCAAAGGTCTGATGTGGAGTACGTCCAGGCTGCAGTCCACCGGGGAGGGGGGGCAGACTCCATGTCAAGCACCAGGAAAGGGAGAAGGCGAGGGACTTGCCTAGGGTTCCCAGTGTGAGTTCAGGAAGGGTAGCCGGCATGGAGAAGAGGATAAGTGCTGCAGGAAACCCCAGTTCATGAGACTCAGTTTCCTCACTGTAAAGTGGCAACCATGGTAACACCCACCACATAGGGCTACTGTGGAAAATGCAGGGGTTTTCAACCTCAGCACTACTGACATTTTGGGCTGGAATGTTCTTTGTTGTGGGGGCTGTCCTGTGCATTGTAGGATGTTTAGTAGCATCCCTGGTCTCTACCCAGTAGATGCCAGTAGCATT